ACAGTGTCCAACAAAAAAATGAGATGGAGCTCCTCGATTTGCTGCCCGACAACAGTTTACTATCAAAACCCTCACCTGTGTAGCTGCCGCAAATTACAGCGACATTTATTAATTCAAATAAAAGACGTATAGCATCTTAAAATCACCAACGAACAAACCAATTCGGTCTGTTTATGTGTGTCGCTATTATCCTTAGCAGCGGTCCTGCTCTTTTTCTGCGCTTCTTCCTCTGACGTTAAACATGAAGTTGGGTACAGCGCCACTAACAGGACTGAGACCATACATCAGTCTTAGTTTAACACAAAAATTACAAAAAAATAAAATAAAAGTGGTATTTTTTTAGTGAGCATGAATAACCCAACCATCTCTTTCTCTAAAAATTATTTATTGGACACAATAAAAAAAATTATTACCCAGCAAACAGTAACCTGAGTCCAAACACTGTCTTGTGGGTAAAATAGTTATTGTAGTTCTCGCACAATAAAGCAGGGATGGTCCAATATTTTTTGAGGGCTTAATCAGAAATTGATTTGGCCCCCTCTTCCTGATAAGAACATCCCTTCTACTAACAACATTTTAATAATAATAATAATAATAATAATAATAATAATAATAATAATAATAAATTTGATCTACATAGTGTTTTTCTAAGTACTCAAAAATGCTTTACAACACAGGTTTGTTGGGAGTCTGGGAGAGGGGGCCATCATGTTTAACTTGTTGACTTTAAAATCAGTCATGGATTAATTGTTATTTGTTTAGACATATTTTTTAACAAACCTAGTTGAAGCACAGATGAAATCAAATATGAACTCATAACATCAGTATCTATAAAAAATGTATTCTATGCATTTTCAGAAACTAAATTTCCAAATTCCTTGAAACTTAACCTAAAAAAATACTTTGATGCTTTTCTCACTGTCAATAAACAAATGTAAAGTTTTTATATTTAAAATATTTATGGGAGGCCACTGATGTTTGTTTTGGGGCCAATGAGAAGCAACTTAATTTATTGTAGGTGATGTATACATTTATTGTTTTACAGAGAGTCTTACAACAGGTAAGACTCTTTCCTCTTATGCCAAGTAAGAGAAAATGTGTAGATGCACCAATCTAAAGATGAAAAATAAAACACATTCTTTTAGATATTTATTCCTCACTACAGTAAAAAAAAATACTTTTTCAGTCTGAGAAAAACATTTTTAACTAGTATGTAGTATTAAAATATTTTTTTTCTGCTAAGAACAACACGAGGACTTTTGATTTTACAATCACAAAGTTACTTGGCAAAGTTACACGTCACATTCAATTATAATTTGAACCTTCCAGTAGGTGGCGCTAATCCTTGGTAAAGACCGCCAAAGAAGAGGAAGACGACGAAGAAGAAACGAAATGCGTCACAATTCAAAACAGTCCTGCAAGTTAACAGTAGAGTGTGTTTATTCTATTTTAAAGAATGTCTCAAACTAATTCAGGAAAACAGAGCCAAGCATCAGAAGCTAAAAAGGCAATCTCACTACCGATCTCCAGAGTGCGGTTGATCATGAAGAGCTCCCCGGATGTCTCCAGCATCAACCAGGACGCTCTCTTTCTCACCACCAAGGCTACTGTAAGCTTTTGTTACAAGCTAAACTGAAGGTCTTAGTAGCAGAGCTGGAATATCAGCGGCTTATTGTTTTGAAGATGTTTGCTTTAGAGTTTTAATTGGAGATTTCTAATTGACTAACTCGGGCGTTGTTGTTGTTGTTGCTGCTGCTGATAAAGGAGCTGTTTGTGCAGCATCTGGCTCTGACCTCCTTTAACAACCGCTCCCAGACGGAAGCTAACACCCTGGACTACAGCGACCTGGCTAAAACCGCAGAGGAGAGCGACACTTTCCACTTCCTCACAGGTGAGAAACCTGACTCACCTGAAACTATCAACCTTCCGATGCTGATAATTAGTGTGCAAATAAGCTTGAAGGATGTTGTTGATACTTCAAAGAAAACTGCAGATATAAAATGCGTTTACGGCTTTGTGAAATATTCTACCATTGATTCATCGCAAGACATTTAAATTTGCATAAATAAGAATATGGATTATTTACATAATCTATATTTAAAGGGTTAAATGACTGTGTTTGTACATTAGTACTGAAATATATATGAAGTAACGTTGAAGTTGGACAAGCAGTGAATTTATGTCATGTAACTTTTCTTTCTTTTTTTTACTTAACAGATATTTTGCCAAAAAAGATCCTTGCTCAAGATTATCTGAAGTCTTTGGAACAAATGCAAGATGAAGACAGTGATTTCTGATAAAGAAAGAACTTATTTTCCAATGTGGACATTTTATCAGATGCACTCTGCTGTCATTGGGAGGAAAAGTGAGGTGGCACATGGACTTCATTACTTTTCAGCTTACTCACTTGATTCATGTAGATATTTTAGGGGGAAAAAAAAGGTTTGAGAATGGGAAAGCAAATACACCAAACATATTAAATGATGTCCCTCGGATCAACTTTAACTCACGTAGTTCCAGGAGGATGTAGGTGATAAATAATTGCAACCAAATAAAATGTTTTAACACTGCTCCAAAGATAAAGGCTGTTAAATGAGTTTTTTAACCCCCATCACCAAGTGTTATGCAAAGGTTTCTACAAATCTTGAACTACTTCCCAAATTGCTATGTTAAAACCTTAAACTTCAAGGTGGCATATTGGGATTTTATGCTAGACCAACAGAAAGAGGTGGATAATTGTGGAGGGCAAATATGACTTGTTTTTTAAAGGGTTTTTCAATGTAATTTGAAAAGTGTGACATTTGTTGGCATTCTGCCAACCCCCCCATGTAAATACTTTATAAAACAAACACTGACTTACAGCTGCAGATAAGACTATCAGATTTACCTTTTGTAGAAGCTGAAACATTTGCCCATTTTTTTTCTTTATAAACAGCTCAAGCTCAGTCAGATTGGGTGGAGAGCATCTTTGAACATCAATGCATCTTAAGCAGCCTCCAGGAGGTTTTCTTCAGGGGTTGCCCTGTAATTAGCTTCCGTCCATCTTCCCATCAACGCAAACCAGCTTTTCTGTGTTCTGTGGAATCAAAATGTGTGGCTCGATCCCGGCATTGGAGCTATTACTTTTAGTGGGATTCTGAGTAAAAATGTCCCGACATAAATTACTAAAAACGAGGCTGGGTGTCTCATAAGGATAGGAATTTTTTTCCAAAGTCTGTTTGACACACACACATAGCACAGTGGATTTCTGACTCCAAAACTATTTTAAACTCGCCTTCACGGGCACAAATATCGCCCTATTGGTCTCAAAGTCGGTCGTGACTTAGATACACATGCCTGCTCCCGTAAAATGTTTTCAAATTTTTGCTAGGGCTTATGGTTTTTTGTCAGGGTTCTTGAGACTGACGCTGGGTGTCTCACAAGTATAGAAACTCTGTCTCCAGCATACTGTCTGACAGAGAGAGCCAGCCCAGGTGCAGATACTTAATTACCATAGCAAGTAGCCAGAGCTGCAGGTTATTATGGTCTCTCTTTAGTCTCTGCAACTGATTAGTTTTCATTGGAGTGGGAAATATTTTGTCTTTTTGTTTTAGACACATTCCTCATTATCTGCTTTTTCATTTAGACTATTAAATCAGTTAAGTTTTTGGGTTGTTTAGGTTCATTTGACAGAACAAACACATTTTAAATGCCACAATTACTTTAAAATGTCTCAGCTCAGGTCTCCATTGCATTGTGGGAAAAGTACATATTTCCTGTGACTATTCATATTTTGCTTACGTATTATTTCTCAGAATTTTTCAGTGTGAATTAAAATCCTTAGTGTGAAAGTTGACAATTTTCTAGAAAAAAGCAATTGTCCACTGTCTTTATTTTTATTTTTATTTTTTTTTATTTTGCACCGTGAGTGAGAACCACAAGCTTATAGTCGTCAGTCTCGGACTAAACTTTGCTGGACAATATTCAGCCATTGCACTGTTTCGGTGAGCCATGTCAGCAATAGCAATATGATGATGGACCTGGCATGATCTTCGGTCATTGCACTCCAGTAGTAGACCATATCGAGCCCGTCAGACATACGCAGCTGTTTTCCTCAAAATTATTAGGCAAACTTGCTGGCTTGCATGGACGTATAATGGTTCTGTTCTGTGACTGTCATATGTTAATAGTGTTTCCCCTTACACAAGTGCAACATTAAAAATGTACAAAAGACAAAATGCTAACCAGGTTTTTCCATACATAGCATTTCAGTGCCCCCCACTACAGGCATTTTCCTTAAAATAATTGTCTTATTTATTAGACATGTTTAGTATACTGAATGGGGCAAGTTAAATTAAGACAACATGCTAGTGATGCTCCACATGCTACTTACCGCATGTAGGCTAATATTAGCATTTTGGCTAATTTTAGCTTAAACACAAATTTTAAAATACTGAAAGGTGGAAGTTCATGTTAGTCAACATGTTTGTGACTCGCCACACGGTCTTGAGTACATTGTAGCTGACTTTAGCATTGATTCTAATTTTTAGCATCAGAGCGCTGGGTTCCAACCGACGGGCACACTTTGGCAGACCCCGTTTATATTTTACTAATACTATGCAGCCTTGAAGCAGTTGGGTGATGAGTTCAGGGTCTTCCCATACAAAAGGCATTTGGCATATGTGCAAAAAAGTAACATTTTGGTCTCAACGGACCAGAACAACATCTTATTCCATAAACGGCGATTGTCACACCATGTACGGAATAAGTAAACACAACTTATGAGTGTTTCCTTTCGGCACTAGCGTGATGAAAGTTGTCCCATGTCAGCTGTGGATCTCTGTGTACATGATGCTGTTTGCTGTCTAATGTTTTCCACAAATCTGGGTAGACTGGGGTTTGGATCTTAAGATTAAACTGTACTCTCTTTACTGACTGCAGTTTGCTGCAGATTGCATTTAGTAAAGGCGGATAAATACAAATGCATGACACACTTTTCTAATTTTTGTAAAAAAAAAAAAGTATAAGAACTGACTGCAGATGAAGGATGGGTATCTCAGTTAGCTTCACACATCTGATTACTGATACTGGATGTTTCCAATATCTTTGAAAAAATGTACCTCTATTTGCAAGCAAGACCTTTGAACATCTGCCATTAGTCTAAATAATTCAATATTTCTTAAACGTCTGACACATCAGAATGCTTCCTTTTTATTTGGTAATGAATTTATTGTTTAGATTTTAGATTAAAATACATGTCAATGCTGTGCTGGGAAACCTTAATGTCTATATAAACAGACAAAAACTACAATCCCTCAAGTTTGACCAGTCTCTTATTCTGATGCAGACCTCAGTATACTAGAGTTCTACAAGGTGTTTTATACGACTGTAAAATGCCTGTACGGATCATTCGGAGTCGTAAACTGGAACGGCCACATGTGTTCAGGTCGTGGGTTTGTACTTTTTTCTGTTCTTTTGCTAACAATTTAAATTTCCTTTGTAGACATCGGAATTTATTATGCATGCACCATTTAAACTCTTGTAGCAGAGGCTCTTGGAGGATGCTTTGATTGTTATCATTGTCGAATGAGTTTGTTGAGTCGAAGGTGTATGTTGAGCAGAGTCTTCTCTAAAGTAGAAAAGCGGCTCTCCAGGTTGTTTGCCAGGAGCTCTTTTCCTTCCATCGCCTCCCTTGTGTTGGTAAGATGCTCCCTTATGCTGTCAGGAGGGGGGAAAAAAATAAAAAAATAAATAAAATGTAAAGATTAGACTTTTGTATTCCTAAGTTCATACAAATTCAAGAGAATTTCTCTTTTCTCCATTCTCCGTTTATTTTTAGCTGGAGCTTTGTTTTATCCAGTTTGTTATTTGGAAAATGCGATGAAATGACTCAGATTTTCCTTGTAAGACATGTGATGCAGAACTTCTGAGAACCTTTGTTCATTAAGGTCTAGCCTCAACATCTGGTTGTGGACCTGCTTTTGGGTCCGCGGCCAGCTGGGATGTGTTATTTGAATTGGTAGATGTTGCCTTAATAGTCCTGTATAGTCTCAGTCGTCGGATGAAGAAAGCTCAACCTGTTTCAATTGTTAGATTTCAGCAAGCAGGACGTAGAGAATGCGGGCAGATGAAAACGCATTACAAATTAGCCGGCGTCGGTCATCTAGCAAGAACCAAGCTGGGAAATGTGATTCGTGTGTGGAAAAACTTAGCATGCACTTATTGCTCTGGATTGAACAGATGTGTGCTACGAAGGAAAAAGCCAGTATTTGATGAAAATGGGATCTTTTTGCATTACGGTGATTCTGAAAACAGAAAAAATAATATATTCCATGTTTTGGTAGTATGAAGTTCATACCCAAGCCTAACTAAAATGCTTTAGCCTGGACTTCAGAGCTGCATAAAACAATTTAAGTTAAATTGAGTGGACTAGAGGATGTTACACGCTATCGCTATAGCCTGTGGACAACGTGGATAGCCTTCCTCGATTTTTCTCTGTTCTTAATTATCTTGTTTAGTTAAAAATGTTATTATAAAAATTAAGCATCTTACAATGCATCTGCAAAGCATGCATTTGTGTCTTTGCACTAGGAGATCATGCAACATTTTACTTTTACTTCCTGGTCCAGAACCGCACTACAATCTGGGAGATGTAGGCAGGGGAAAAGCTTTAGTTGCTCAACCACAAGGTGGGAGGCATCAACTAACTCACTTCATTCTTTGGTTACCTAGCAACTCACTCACTTTCAGGTCACCTAGCAACAACTTGTTGAGTAATGTGTAGCAGTTTTGAATTTTGCCACCATGCCTCATAATGCTTAAAAATAAAGAACAATGTGCTGGAGTGAAATCTGGATAAAGCAGGAAAGGTCATAGCACCACTTTGGCAGTATATTAGATATTTAAAACAAAAAAACAAACAAAAAGGCAATAATTATTGATAAAAACTGATATGAAACTCTTGTATGGTGATACATGTTTCAGCCATATAATCTAGTCCTAAGTATAGTTTTGATCTTGTTTTGCTTGTAGAATATCCACGATATATTCAAATACATGCACCAAACTTAACCCCCCCCCCCAAAAACAAATATTAAAAGTTGTATATCTCACAATCAGAAGATTTTCTGGTTCTCACCTAGTAAGAATGCCCTCCTCCTTCCCTTCTTTCCTCTTCTCCACCAGTGAGACAAAGACATTCTCCATGGTTTGCATTATCTCCGTCGCCTTCTGGTGGTCTGACAGGACGCCCTGGACCTCCTCTCTGGCTTGGTGGCTGTAGGAAACCCCTGCTTCCTCCACCCCGCTCAGGTCAGACACCGCCTGCAGTGCGGCCCTGTTCTGCAGAACAAGTAGACGGGACCTGGCGAACTCCTCCGGTTCTGCTACAGTTTCCCAGCAGACCGGAGAGGAAGGTGGCAACCAGAAGCGCTGCGTGCAATTGACTGGTTCTTTTGGGGACTCCTTAACAAAGGAGCTGTCAGCAGGGAAGTGGCTGAAGAGATGCAGCAGAGAAGATCCAGAACCCATTTCCCAATCCTCGAAGCCAGGTTCTCCTGACACTTGTTCCACGACCACTTCTGGTCCTCCGTCCTCTGGTTGGGAGCAGGCACCCAGCAGGAGGCAGCAGGAGAAGCAGAGCCAGGCCCTGCCGGCTGTCCACCAGAGCATCTCTAAACTGGATGAAAAAAACAAATCAAGCTGGTTTTAATATTTATGACATTGTTTATGATTTTGAAGAAAGACTGAATTTTATTCAGATTTTTTTCCTTTGCTTAAAAGGAAGGTTAGTTAGAATGTATTGGCAAGTTGATTCCACAAAATAAAACATGTTAGCAAACAGGAATATGAATACACAGAAAACAACCAACTAATATACAGGAATATCTCTATAAATAAAAACGAAAAGCTAATTTACTTCAACGTTTTAAGAATGTATATAGAGACTATAGAGATATATTTTGTGTTATTTTTTGAAACATTTGGTTTCTCAGAAAATGTTAATATGACATAATGATGATAATTTTGTGATTACTATTTACTAAGAACAAAAAAGACTTTACCGTTTCTCAGTGTTTAAAAGTCCTCCGGACATTTCATTGAAAATACAAGCCACAGAGTCACAGAGTCTGGAGGAAGCGGTGTAATGTTTTCACGGTCAGTGATGATTTTAGAGGTCATATCACCTGCTGATGTCGGCTCACTGTGATTTATCAAGTCCAAAGCCAGCTCAGTCCTTTTTAAGGAGGAAAAAAAAAGGGTGTGGCTAGTGAGGCGGAACTCAGTTGTTGAAAAATGTGGCTAATCAGTAATTTATGATTTCACATTTTTTGGTTGGTTTGCATCATTTGAAAGGTGATTCTTTTGTTTACTCTGGTTATTTTTGACTGATATTAAAGTTTGGTTGTTGATCTGAAACATTCAGTTGCATCAGAAAAGCAGAAACAGAAAAGCTATTTAAATTTTAACTGCACATGCTTTTCAATTCATATTTCTACATTTAAAATCCATTTCTTTTAATGATCTTGCATATCAACAGAAAAATGTTTTGGGTTTTAGTAGATGTTAAACATTTTGTTATTTAATCGATTTACTAGAATAAAAAACAATATTCTGATTCATTGAGACACCCCTGTAATACATCTGCAAAAACTCTTTCTCCATTTCTCATGTTTTATTGCTAGCTAGTCGTGTCAAAATAGTTTTCCTTTAGTAGCCTAGTGGTAGCCAGAAAAACGGTAGAGAAACTGATGAGGAAAAAAAACCCCTGTCTACTTCAAAACAACTCAAGCAAATAAAATCATATTTCAAGTACTACAAGAAGAGCTAACATTTGTCTTGATCTTAAAAGATCTTACCTCGTAGGAAACAGCAGCGTGAGTGTTTGCAGTGGCGCTCCTTTGGAGCCTGAAGCTGTTGGAAAAAATGAGTCGACTTCAGCCTCTACTATACAGTCTGAAGGGCTTTCCATTGGCTCGATTACAGCAGTCTGGAGCCAAACGCTGTGGAGGAAATGATGAAAAAACTTACCTCAAATTAGAGGCTCAGTGATTTCTTGTTTACAGCTACAAAAGTCTGTCTGGAAGAAGCGAGTGGCAAGTCATTTTTTTGATAGTCGTACTGATAATTGTTCATTTATGTCTCAGTTCTTTCTACATAAATTAGATCTTGTACCGAAGGCTAAGCTATTTTATTCTTTATCTTTTCTCTCTTTCTGACTGTTTTTCATTGGGCATGGGGGGTTCGGGGGCGAGTGATGCTCCTGGTATTTACTAGCCCGTTTTATACGAACAGTTTGGCCCAGTTTCAGAGGACGAGGAATCTGTTCACACCTACAGTGTTAGAAGGAAGTCAAACATTTTAAGACTGTAATAAGAATAAAAAAATGTCCCGAAAAAGCTGAAAAACGTCATGAAGCAATTTTACTTGAGCAGGGAATGATGTTGTCCAGTATTTTACACTCTGACATAAGCAACAAGGAATGAGATACATTTTGGCAAAAACAACTAAGATTGTTGGAAACGTTTCAGGGTAACTTAACAGGAAGCAGAAAACACTGTCTTAGGTTGAATAGGAGCAGCTTTAGACACGGCTTATCTACTTTAATCTGTCAAACCTGATATGCGCTGAATCATACAGCTTTTGTATTTCTCCTGTAGCTGAAAAAGAAACATTGTCAGTTGAAAAAAAAAAACATAACTGTACTGGGTCTTAAGCAGATAAGGATGTCAAAGGATTACATTCCTGGCTCTCTGTCTCTGTGCGTGGCAGAAAAATAGCACAGCTCCAAGCCCAAGCAAACGAAACACAAACCGCCTTAATAGTGTTTCTGTAAGTCAAACTTACCCTTTCTTATTGAGCTTTCAGAAATGTAATGTATTTCTAAACTTGTCGAGACAAAAACAATTCTCGACAATCACAAATGTTCGCTGGGTACCAGACGAACTCGGTCTGGTAAAAGGATTCATGAAGGATAAGCTTCAGTTCTTCTTCCTTGGATTTATTATTTTTTTTGCCACAGACCTTCACAAAGTTATGCACAACAATTCAGAGGAAGGAGAAGGAATTACGGTTGTCAAAACAAAAACAAAAATCTTAAAAGTGTGGTGTACTTTTATACACTTTATTTTACTGTAAATACATACAGTGAGCTTTCACAGCATGATGTTGCCACTTTCATATTTTACCTTATGGATGGTGCGTTCAGGGCTGTGTGTCTTGATACTTTTCCTTCACAGATTGACTGCGTTACATTTTGGTCTATTCTGACCAGCGCGCCTTTTTCCCACTGTGTGGCTTTTAGCAAACTTTAAATCAAACTTCTTATGGCTTTCTTCTTTGTTATTCTTCCAAAAAGGTACAGATGTGCACAGTGTGTTTCTAATAGTTGTCCTGTGATCAGATTCTATCACCTTAGATCTAGATATTTGCTCTACGGAGGTTATTATGGATTTCTCCACATCTTTTCTTTTCTTATCGGCCTTTATTTACTTATTTATGTATTTCTGAAGGCAAGGGAAGTTTGTGAAGTACCACTCATCTGTAGGGTAAAAGAAAAGGTATTAACAGCAAAAACAAATTAACAGGTTAAAAAAAACTGCAGAGAAGCTTCAGTGGTGCAGAATAAGCCTTTTGTTATGACTTGGCTCTTTTGTACTTCTATCTCTAACATTCTCTTTGTGAATGTTAAAATTACCCTCTCACGGATGGTAATTAGAAAATTCACCCGTGAAGTTATCATATTTACTATCAGAGTGAATGGAGCTGAACAGAAATGAAAAGAATAAAAAAAAACTTTAAAAAAAAACATGAGTCATTTTCCTACAACTTCACAATCGGTCACTCCTCTCCGTGTTGAAGTATCCACATAACTCAATAAAATACTTTAAACTGGCGGTCGTAATGCAATAAAAAGTGGAAAAGTTCAACAAGTCTCAGCACTTTTTTTGAGGGCCTGTAAATAAGAGTACTTTAAAAGAGGTATAAATATTTAAGGTAATTTGGTATAAAATTTAAAGTAAAGCCTCTTTTCTTTTTGGTTTATATGATCAAATATTGCTCATTCAACCATCTGGACTGTTTTATTGTTCCCATTTCTGGCCGACCTCAGCTCAACGAGTCAAGGATCAGATCCAAGAGAACACAGTAGAGCTAAACTCAACTCTCTGCTCCCGATTCCTCACTGCTGTTTGTATCAGACGACATATCCTGGTGGTTTATGGGACATTTAGTGACTGGAGCAGCTCTCTGAGGTGTTGCTGGTCTGTGAAACCTAGGCAGCTCATCACGTCCTCTGGTTCCACTCTGTCGATCGCTCCACAAGCAAAACAAAAATTGCAACATACTGCATATATGGAAGAAAATCATTGCGACAACATCATCTTACGGGAATACGATTTTTCATTAGGGACTGATCAGAGCTGGTGGGAAGATAGAAGGAGCTAAAGAAAGGGAAAAGCCATCATGAAACCTGTTGGAGGTTGCAGTGGACCTGTCCAAACTGACTGAGCTTGTATTATTTTGTAAAGAATGTGAGGAAATTCAACCTCTGGATGCTGGTAAAGAAACACCTCAACAGACACACGGCAGTGATTGCAACAAAATATAATGCACGTCACACTTTTCTCTCTTTTTTGTTGTAAAAGAAACAGAAAACTAAGGTCTGATCCACAATGCATGCCTAATAGCTGTACTTTCTCCCACCTGAGCTCTACTATTGCCATGCTAATAAGGTGATTTTCCAATTCTAGGAGTGGCAGTGGGTTTTAGTTCATTCATGCAAACGGAAACCATGCAAAAGTTTGAAAACAAACCGTGTATTATTTCTCCCTCCACTTCACAGGTTTGCGCTAACGTGTGTTGGAGAATCACACTCAGTCCCAATGAAATACATGAGTCTTTGTTGAAAAAGTCAGAATAGTTTTTCAACGCACTGTAAAGGAATCGGTAGTCCAACAGCGACATCTAGCGGCGACAACTGGAAACTGCGTCACTTGAAACGTTCAAGTCGTTCCCTTTTACTAAATAATGAAACTTTATCTTCAGGATCGGATTGATATCATATTGATATTTGTTTTTGCTTAAAAAAATAGCAAATTATGTCGAAGCATTTGTGGAAACTTTTCACACTCGTGTTTCGGGGACATTTTAGACCACATTCCTGCGTTGTGACCCGGCGACAGCTGAGAGAGGAGAGGGAAGGGAGGGGATCACCGCGGAGCTCCTCCTCCTCCTCCTCCAGCCGGCTGACGTCACCACGGCTGCAGGACCGGAGCAACTCGGCACCAAGAGCCACAGCAGCTGGGCTGCAATCCCCGCCACCTCCCTCTCCGTGCCGTGGGAAGACTCGCCGCAGCAGCCAGGAGCTTCCCGTCATTTGTCACGGCGACAGACATGGCCTCCGACGGCATGGACGAGCGCTCTCCGCTGCTGTCGGCCCCCAACTCGGAGAACGTGACCCCCACGGCTCCCCCGTACCTGCAGGACTCAAGTCCCCGAGGTAAACACAGCCTGCGGATCCTCCACTCCCCCCCTCCCCCACGGCCCTCCACACTCTCCCTAGATTTCTGCCTGCCTGCATGCATGCTGAATCATTTTCAGGGCGTATCGGGTTTGTGCGTAAATAAATCGGAGCCAGGCGCAGCGAGGCAAGGGCATCGGCTGGAAATCCGACGGCAGCTGACACAAAGGTGGAGCTTGGACTGTGAGAACTGGAGCAGTGGGTTAGAGACGAGAGGGGCCTACAATAACACCAACCGGGTTTTAGAGCAGAAATGCTTGCGTCACGACTCCCCGAGCATTGGGGGTGTTTGCAGGATGACAACAGTGGTACTAATAGGAAGAAAATGTGTGAATCCAGCTTTGAATGTCGGCGTCAGTGTTGTGTGTTTACGGGGAGAGAGTTGAGGCACTGCAGATGAAGTCAGGCCACCAGCCTTTTGTCCCAGATGTGTCCTTTTAAAAATGAGAAGAAATGAGTGAGCTACCACCTTGAAGAAAGCAGATGCTTGTTTGCTTGTCTGTACGAAAAGAAAACATGCAAATAGCAAGATAATCGGTGTCAGTATTCAACAGATAGTTTCAGTGGTCTGAGTGTTTGATACAGTAGATGGCTTGAAGATGTGAAATAGAGATGTATAGTATATTGACCAAAGAGTGGAGTCAAACCATTTTTTCCTTGTCAGACAGTGATCAGCAGATCAAATACTGAAAAGTCAGATTTTTTTAAACCCCCCTTTTCATTATGTTTATCTAGATACAAAACCCAGATTTTCTATAGATTAATGGCGCTCCGGCGTGGAGTCCTCTATCCTCTCAGTCAGGAAATGATCACTCCAATCTGTCATGATTACTAGACAATTTGTGATTGCTGATTCACCAGTCGGTCTGCCAATTCCCCCTCATTTGGCTCCGATAGATGGTGATCAGTTCAAGCACTTTAACGTCTTCAATAAATGCGTCAAAAATAAGAACTCATACTATTTTTTTTTGCCCTATAAACTCATAAGCCATCAGCAAAGATAGTTAGTTCTCTCTCCTTTGTGACAAGGATTGATAATCTAATCTAATAATTTTCAGAGATGAAGTTCTGTTAGATCAAAAATGTGCCTCAAAGCTGGACGAATCCGTGTTCGCTGGTTATCCACTAATCGCATTTCTGCACAAAATATCCCTTTAACAGTATGAATTTAATTATAACTTGCTGTAAAATGATAAGAATTTGTTAGGGACGCCGAATATATCAGCACCAACATTGCTGGTGTTAGTCATTTTTTAACGTATCGGTATTGGTCATGTATTTATGGTTGCCATGTGTTTCAGAAGGGGGTATTTTTTATTTTTTTGTCAGTGTTCAGAAACGCTACCAAACATTTTCCCGCAGACTTGCGGAACACACATAAACACCCTTTGAAGTTGGAGTATGATGAAGAACATAATTAAAGACAAAAATGGGCAACGAGAATGTCACTCAAGAA